TAATATACGCGAGTGTAAATTATTTATTGTCGAATGATAAAAACTCATTTAAAAGTAAATGTTTCTTTTCTTTTCTTTTCTTTTTTTTTTTTTTTATCGACACGACCGAATGACGCGAACAGTTTTATATTAAAATTATGATATATAGAAGAAGACAAAATAAATAATAATAATGATATTTTAAATTAGTCGAATATTATTGGATAGTTTTCCTTGTTATCAATCGTTAACTATTGGTCATCATTAAACGTTAATTACTGAGTCGTGGTTCATAAAAATATATAGAACGAATCGATCGTTATATTTAGAACAACTGAACGAAAAAAAGATAGTGAATATTTTTTTTGTATTATAAAATTACGAATTCAAAAAAAGAAAATATAGAAATAAGTAAACGTTTATAATTTCTAATTAAATATTTTTCTTATGTGAGACTACTAGAATTAAAATAAAAAAATTGTTTACAAAAGGAAACGTTTATAATTTCTAATTAAATATATTTTGTCGAATTACCAAACTGCAATATCAACGAAGAAAAAAAAATTAAAAAAAAAACGAAAAAATATGAAATAATATTTGTCTATGTCCAATTATAAATGAATCAAAAGAATTTCGAGTAGATTGTAGAACCCAATCAAAAGCATACTTATTTCAATTAAAGCTTAACTCAATCCGTTGTCTAGGAAAATAATGTGTCAATGTAAATTCGTTCTACTCTGAGTAATACATTGTATTTTAGTAATTTTCATAAAAACTATGTATCTTTTTGGAATAAGAAATTGTATTTATAATAAACGAACTAAATATCAAGAGAGACAAAAAATAAAGGATCCTATAAACGTGATGTAAAGGAAGACGAAGAAAAAGAAAAAGAAATAGAATGATAATACAAAAAAGAGAAGAAATTCTCGCATGAATTTGCATCGAAACAAGTTTCTGAGATAAACAGTTATAGGAAAAAAAGGAGAATAAAAAAAAGAAAAGAAACGTAACATATTTTCTTACCTTTGAGCTCCGTAGTTCACGTCGGAACTTCTATTTCTTCATAATGAAATAGTTTCGTTGATCCTTTAATGGCTTCATCCCCGTTACAATGATTCAATCTCACCTTCCACTTTTTTTTTTATTAATTATATATACATAAGTATATATATAAATATAGATGTATATATATTAAATTTTTTTTTTAATAAAAAATCACTCTCGTTTACCAGATTTTTCTTTTTTTTCTGGAGAAAAATAGTGCAAAAATTAATGTTGCATTTTGGTTTTTTTTTTTTTTGGATGTCTCACGACGTTAAGAAATTCGTGATAATATAAAATGGAGAACGATAGGACGAACACTGTGACACGTGAATAAGAAATTTAATTGGAGAAAAAATAAGAAAAAAAAAAGTAAAACAATAAAGAAAAATGAAATAAACGTATGTAATTATCTAAAGAGAATCCGAAAGACGACGTCGACGACTTGCGCAGACAAAGCGAAGATGAAACTAAGTTAGCAACGAGTCCTACCGAGACGTTTAAACGCACCGCGTTATTTGGCCACTTCACGAACCTCTCCATTCTGGTGACATAACTGAACTCCCACTTCGATTCCTTTCGAAGTCTCCACCCCTTTTACAAAGTCGTAACGTTGCTGGAAAACGGTACACGTTGTATGTAATTGTATGTGTGATTACGCGCGCGCGCGTGCGTACGTATAGGTATGTGTGTGTGGCCAACGTAGAACGTGGGGATGAATGTGATGATCATGATCGAAGAAATAACAGAGCTAGAGAAAGAGAGAGAGAGAGATATTGAATAATTTAATCCATATTTAATATAAAATATCAGTTAATGATAAATATTATTAATATGATTTTAATTTGAATGTTTATGATTTTTTTAATATGTCGAGTTTTGTATGCATCTGTTTATACAATCGCGAAAAATACTTTATATGTCATTTATATGATAACAAAGTTAATGTTAATATGATCGATACAAAAAAAAAAAAAAAGATAATATTTTAATTTATTCAATATGAAATAGAAAATAATATTAAATGGTCAATATCATTGATACAATTTTAATTTAAAAGTTAATGATTTCTTTTATGTTGAATTTTGTATGTTTTTCTATGTTTACTCAATCACGTATTTGTTAGCTTTAATTTATATGAAAAATTAATTTTAAGTTTAAATAGAAAGATTGATCAATTTAATTGATATTTCTTCTTCTTCTTCTTCTTCTTTTTCTTCATTTTATTAGGACTTTGTCCTATTATAATAGCTTTGTTTTATTGCTATTTCTAGGAGAGATTTATTGATATTTAATATGCAATATTAATTAATGATAAATATCACACTAATATATATTTCCAATTAAAAATTTTATAATTTATTCATATTAATATTCTTATATTGAAATTTGTATTCATTTATGTTTACTCAATTGTAATAAGTCATTTACATTTAAGTTATATGATTAGAAATATAATAATTGTTCCATTTATGTGTGCAATTTAGTCGATATTGTTTAAATTTTAATAAGAAAGGCGTATGAAAGAATTTATCTATGTAGGCGTAATTCTTGTTTTATTATAAGTGAAAAATTAAGAGATTATTTTTTTGTTCAATCATGAAAATTTGTACATGTCAAAGAGGTCATTGTGTTTGTTAAAATTGAATTAATGTAAGATTAATTGAAATATTAATTCTTTCTTGTTATCATTGATATACTATCGTTAAATTAGGATTAATAAATTTAGGTATTCGTTTTATGATAACAAAATAATATAAGTACTAAATGTTGAAAAAGCATTACTTCTTATATACTTTATTATGAAACATAAAATAGTTGATTTATGAAGATTTAAAAAATGTGTTAACTACTTAGATACTTAATAATAACTAATTAACAATAGCGTATTGTTAAAAAAAAACATTTATCATTGAAACCACATGATGTGTACATAACAATATAGTATTCTCTAGTACTAATGATATAAAACGATAAAAGAACTTCCATTTTAATTGATGATTCACGTGAACATAATTGGTATGGTCGGAAACGTTTCGTGGAACATAAAAAAAGAAACGTCTTCGGGAAATAAAGAAGAAAGGAGAGAAGAGACAGAGTATTCGAAATTTAGTAAAAAAAACTATTTCGATATTTTCTTTTAAAAGACTATAAAAAAGATATTCAAGATTAGAGACGATTTCTAAAACTTTCGAAATTTTGCTTGTCACTGATAGTATTTATTATCAATGATTTTAAAATTGAGAGAACTTGACATACACGAAAAACATTTCATTTGTTTAATTATAATTAACGAATCAAATGGTTAAATATTATATTTAATTTATTTTTTTTTTTTATTATTAATGACATCATTTTAAATAACTTAATGTTGAACGTTACGTTTTGATATAATATATAAAAATGTAGCATCTGATATATATAATAATAATAAATAATCATGAATAATAAAATTAAATTTCATTTTTAATCTTTCGTCAGCGTGATTATAATTCAAACATTATATTATAAATAAATGCAATTATTTATAAAGATTAAAAGAATTTCTTAATTTCTAATATAATATGTTGATAAAAACTATTTTTTCGGTCAAACTTTAATTGAAAAAAAAGAAAAAAAAAAGACCCGAAACTTGTCAACTCAACTCACGTACTTTATTGAGACGAATATAACTAATTCTTATCTATCAGTAATACACTCCTTGAAAACAAAATCATTAATCAAAAATAATTTAATAAATAATAATAGATGGTTAACCTAGTTAACATTGATAGAAACGTTTCTTTATAAAATAATCTAAAAAAATGTCAAGATAAAATCTTTCAAACCTTTCAACGTTAGGTTGATACTAATTAAAACGATAATTCTTTCTTATTAGCAATGTGTGTACATATTATTGAAAAAATAAATTTAAAAAAGGATGATACATACACACAAAGTTGTTATTCGTCAAAATGTATATGACAAAAATAGATGTAATTGAATTGATATTTACTTTTTAATAATTCATTACGATATATACATACATACATACACGTACATACATACACGTACATACATACACATATATACATATATATATATATACATATATATACAAAAGAAATTGATACATACACATATATACATATATACATATATATACAAAAGAAATTGATTTCAAGGACAAATAACCAATTGATTTTCTGTATAATATGTCTGTACATCCGAGAGAAAGATATAGTTAATGAAATGTTTACATACAATTATGATATAGGTAAATTAATCGTTTAAATCAATGTCCCGTGACTAGTCTTATGACTACTCTCTTGCGCAAACATATTTTGCTTTATAACACGTGTGATAACCGTTTCAAGGTGACAACGTGGTTTTTTTTAAAACCAGTTCCTACCATAAGCCACTTACAAATATGGCAGACCTGGGAAACTTTTGCGAATATGGCGTATGTTTGTATCATTTGTCTCTCTTTTTCACTGTTGTTTTTACGTCAGGTTCTCCCCCACGTGATAATTTTTCCATATAAAACTTTTTATAAGCACTTAAATGTGGAAATAAATATACAGAAAAATGTGTTAAGGTACATTTGTGTATTTAAGTTCTTATTCATTTGCATATTCATTTATTTCCGATCACATGTTCAACCTGTAATCATAGGAAAAAAGAAAGTTTAAAAAATAATATCTTTTCATGGAAATCTGTGGTGACACAGTGGGGGTAAACTTACGAAATGGGAAATCACGAGTTAGTTATATAGCTTGTTTGAAAAAATTTCAGTCTAACAGTAGATTAAAAGCTAATTGGGATCTGCAATTTGTTATCGGATACGATGCTTCCTCGATGATCTTACTTTGCATGATAAATATTTTGTTATCTTTCATTAATCTCGTATATACATAAATATATGTATATGTTGCAGTATATGTATACAATGCGGAGATATAAATGGAGATTAATTTTTAAAACTGAAACATTTTTATTTCCACGAAAATTTGATTCATTATAAATGTAAAATAAATTGAGAAAGAAAGAAAGAAACACTAATTCGAAAGAACATAATTTATGAATATAAATCTAAATATTATTTTTACCAACGAAAGATTAATTTTATTGAATTTATATGAAAATGATGAGAATATAAAAATAACAATTTCATTACATCAATGAAAAGTTAATTTTTTTTTAGAATATATTATAAGAAAAAAAAGATAAAAGTAAAAATAAAGAATGTTATTGCACCGACGAAAGATTAAATTTTATTGAATGTATGTAAAAAAAAAAAAAAAAAGAAAAGAAATAAATAAATAAAATAATAATAAAAAAAAATATAACGAAAGTTTAACAAATGTACTTTTATGCGTAATCTTATCGCGTATATCATTGGGGCCTGCCCTAACGTACGCGCTTTAATAATCGGCTATTGACTGTAATTAATAATCCTTTATTTCTGTTTCACCATAGTATTGAGTATACGTTCACAAGCGTGTAATTGGTTGGAGGTGTAAGTGTTAAAGCGCGTGACTAGTCTCATGACCAGTCTGGTCTCTCACTGGATTATGAAGGTTTTTATTTTGTATCATTGATACTTTCACACGTGCAGACACGCATACGCGCTCAAAGACACATTTTGTGTTCTTATCCATAAATCGATCGATCGATCGATCGATCGATCAATACAAACATTTTGAATAATCTCATAAACAAAATTCATACTTTTCATAATTCATTTTCAGACAAAACGTTAACATCAGATTAACAATATTATTTCTAATTGTCGTTCTTGTTTTCTTCATGCTTTCAACGATTTTTTATCATTTTCATTCATCTCTTATTTTTTACTATATTAACAAAAAAGTAAATTGTTCGTCTTTTTACGGTAATCTTCTTTTTTACGGTAATGATTTATCGTTATCATTTGCCTTTTTTATTTACTTGCTATGTGTATACGTACAAACGGTAATTCTGGTAATCGGGACAGGTTATTGCTCATTTTTAAAGTAAAAATAAAAACAAATGGTAGAGGAAAAAGTCATATGGCATTTATGTCTTAACTTCCTAAGACATTTTTTGTGCGGATAGATCAATGCAACTGTTAGTAACAATTGCACTTTATTTTCTAATCCAACTCAATTTGTTTTAAATCAATCAATCCAAGATAATCGAAATGTAAATACCTTACGAGATATTTAACATTCCAACGCGTTAAAAAGTAAGTACACTAGCGAAAAATATGCTAACGTAAAACAATATAGATACATTATGAAAATTACGTACAAACTAACGTATCGTTAGATAATTATGGTTTATTAATTGTTTACTTAACGTTATCTTTCAATTACTCCTTTTGACGATATTAACTACGAATTTTTAATCTCTTATCGAATTATACTTAATTGCTATCTTTTCCGTGTGACTACAGTTAATGCAATCGTGTAATTAAATACAGTATAATCTTAAGTATTGCAATTGCGAAGTATAACAAACAACAAAACAGATTATAGCAAAAGGATAATAGATTGATGATGAATATTTTTACTTTTTTTCCTTCTTTCATTATCTTCATTTCTTTCTACTTGCATTGATATTATACAGTTAAGATTTGTTAAAATCTATTAAATTAGTTTATTTCTTCTTCGAACAACTTATATTAGTTAGGCACACTTCCGTCGCAGATAAGAAATTATATTTTGAGTTATACTTTCTTAATCACTTTTGTATATTCAATGCTTCTCATAACGCTATACATATCTTTATTATGTATTCATTTTAGTCAAATACAGTTAACCCTCCTATAATACGATTAATTCCTATCACGTTATATAGAAATTTTGTTAAAATTATTATAAATTAATATAAATCAAAGTTAAAGTAAAAAGCAGATTAATTTGTATCGTGCTATAAAAGCACATTTACTGTAATATACTATATATCATCTATATCACATAAATAACTATACTATGAATTAATCAAGTTAAACCAGTTTAATTCATTTCATATTGTATATCACGTTTTATTAATTTTTATTTATTAATTTGTTTATTTTATTATTATCTTTAGATTGTGTGCATCAGGGTTGTATGAGATATAAATAGGATTAAAGATTTAATTTTCTTTTTTTCTTTTATCAATTTACAATCTATCGTTCTTAATTCATTTTTAATATCTAACATTGCACTGTCATTCTATTGATTTTTTATATTTAGTATTAAATAATGTATATCTTTCTTAATACTTTTAATTTGTTCAAGGAGATATATATATATATTTGTTATTTTTTCTCGGGCATGATTAATCCATCGGGACTAACTGCCAGATAACATAAAATCCCTTTATTTTCGATCTTTCGAAACGAAATATAAGCACAACCGTCTGGGGTTTGTCTTGATACAATTGGTTCCAATGGGCCAGCATTTGGTAAATATTTACATTTATTACACAGAAAGTTACACATAGCTTCAGCCAATGATGGTATATCGTCGTCGGGTGGTGGATCAAGAAAAATCCCATGTAAACGACCACCTCGTGTCATTATCTTCAATAATTGAATGTAATCGTTTCGATTTTGGATCTCGTCGTTGCTGTTGTCTGGAATTCCAGCTAGTCGACGACTCCATTCGACGATTCTTACGCGATCTATTCTTTTTTCATTTATTTATTCTTATTTTTTTTTATTTTTGCAATATCATATTAAATCATACATGTTAAAGTTAATGACAAAAATCAATTACTTATTATTTTTTTGATCTCAATTCGATTAACTCCGATAAAATAAAAAGTAGGAAAAAATTGATCAAAGTTGTTTCACTGTTTGCTATTTATTGAATTGGTCAATAAGTGTGTAGTTTTTATTTTTTTTTTTTTTTGAAGTAGTATAAATCCATTTATTATTATTTTTAGATATTTAAGGATTGACGCGTTTGAATTGATTTAAAAATATTGGTAAATGTAAATGAATTTTGGTTGAATGTTTTAATATATATAAACATATTATATTACATTATTCGATAACAAAACTACAAATGGATTTATGCTAATTCCGAAAAAAAAACTTTTATGCATTAACATTTTATAGTGAAGTTTTTTAAAGATGAATTCGTAAGGATATTGTATTGTATTGGTTTTTGTTATTAACAATATATGAAAAAAATTATCAATGCTTAATATATTATTCTCTACTACGTTTACCATTTTCGGTGAAACTGAATTTTCTTAATACTTTCGCGAGGGGAAACACAGTTCTACATCATTTCAAGGTCTTCAATAGAATACAAAAAACGTAATCTTACAGTATTATGAAATTGGCGCTTTTAAATTTATTCATAATGTACATATAAAAAAAACTTAATTTAGGAGAAAAAACGAGTTTTTCAAATGATATGCTAATTCTAGCAATAATGTGGACCGTTTTCAATATAAATAAAAATAATATAAGCAGTGATGATTCGAATCCTAGTCAATATATTAAGTCGTACATCTAAAAAGAATCTACCGCAAAGAGACATTAATATGCACCATTTAAAACAAATAAAAATTTTAGAAATTCCAGATGTTGAAATAAATTATATGTATCTGTAAAATTATCATATTCCTTTTATTAAACAAAATATTTTTTCTATACGTATTTGTAATATGTAATTTTTTTAAGTTTTAAACAACAAATTACTACATATACATAAACATTATATTAAGATTCTTCTTATATTCACTTACATACAAATAGGAGAATCTTGCCGTACTCATGTTAGAAGAAAGAAGAAGAAGAAGAAAAGCTAGAGATTTTTAGAAATTCTATATTGCATTTAGCTGAACGTTTTATCCGGCTATCGCCCGTCGCGAAAATGTTAATTATTTATTAATTATAATAATTATTATCAAAAATTTGTTGAGGTTACCGTGAGGTGAATTGAAGTACGCTACTCTTTGTGCGATTTCTCGTAATGCTTCTTTAAATTCTGTATTGTATACTTTTATCATAATTTAATTGATACTAATTAAAAATTAATTATATATTAACAAATATTTTAATATCTATTAGAAAAAATTATCGTATAAAAATAATGAAATAAGTAAAATTTATAGAGAAAATAAAAACTGACGATCATTGTTCAATTGTTGCAATATTAAAAAAGAAGAAAATATTATACATATTTTAATAGTCACATTTCAAGTTTTTTATTATTGGTATAATTATTGGACGGGTTTTCCTGTAATTTTTCTTTTTTCATCAACAACTTCTAATTTTTATAATTTATTCGACTGTAAACGCTTGGTAAATTAGTTTTACGATTTGTTGATTATAATACCTGGACATTTATCTCATTACAGAAATTTCTAAGAAAATAAAATGTAAAAATGAAAATATACAAGAAATATAAATGCAGCTGTGTTTTCGTTTTATGTGAAAAGTGAACGAATCAAAGTTAAATTCCATTCTCGCTCAAACCACCAGTTACAGGAATAAATAAATGAAGCTGCAAATAAAACAGATTATTTTTATAATAATTTATTTATAAAACAATGCATTTTGGCAGTACTCAATATGTGATAAAGAATACTTATTTATATTATATAACATGTAATTAATTAAAAGTCACTCTAAAAGCAACTTCGCTTTACTTCCACTTATATCTTTGTTAATATTATTTCGCGATGCAAATTCATGTTTAACACTTGCAAAAAGAATGTCTGTTAAGAGGAATATTTGTGCAACAGCGAATGCCAAAGTAACTCCGAAGTAAAAGTTAGCGTTAGCGGATCTGGCATAAATCCATTGATGCCATACTATTGGTGCAAAACCAGTACAAACCAATATGAAGCAACCGATTATGAATCCTTGTTGCATATCTGTAATGAAAGACCATAGTTTTATTCAAGTAAATAAGTATTTAAAAAAAAGTAGTGGAAGTTTAATATCTTACGTTGAAACAGATGCATCCAAAACGGCAACAAAGATACATAAAATCCAACATCCCCAACACAGGGATAGGACTTAAATATAGTCATTATGGCTAAATAAGAAAATGCCAATAGAACTGGCTCATGTCGTAATCTTAAAGCTAATGGTACTATGTACAATAAACTAACATTAATTTGGAATGAAGCTATGAAAAGTGATCTAAAATGTTCAAACATTTCTGTAAGGAAGTACCAATAAAGTCCAATATTTGGACGTAAATCTGGAACTAACAAAATAAATCCAAAAATATTCCAAAGGAAAGACCAACTGTTCATGATATAATAACAAATACCGAGTAATAACGTGAACATAGATACAAACGTAATTATTAAAATGAAAATGGTAGATTTGATACTTCTCGTTGATTTATCCTTACATATATAAATAGCAATTGGTACTAACAGTGATATAGGATAAAGATTCTGCAGTGTTAATAAAGCTATAGAAATACAACTCCAGAAAATGGAATGTCGTACCATAGCCACTAATGCTATCGAATTTAACAGATTACTAAATACTGTAGTCGTGAATCCTACACAATTTAATATTATATATGGATTAAACAGATAGGCCATTAAGACATACAATGCGACATCATTTTCCATAGTAGAAGTATCATTATCTTTTTCTTGAGATACCTCTTCTGTCTTATCTTCATCTTTCTTAGAACGCTGCAATAAAAGTGAATGATATAAATTGATTTCAATTCCAATTAATGAAACTATTTAAAAATATAAAAATATTTTAAATTTGATATATACACTTACCCGACTATTAGCATAACTATTACCTACGTAAGCAAGGCACAGAGCTGTCATTAGATCAGTGACTACGAACAGGAGACATAATATATACCATGGGAAATGTCGTTGTATAATATCAAACACGTAAAGACAAATTGGAGTTTCATGGAATAAGTCACCAGAATAAGGGTCTATACCATTATTGTGTAGGTAAACTCCTTCGGTAACTACAAAAATTGTTATTAGTGTGTTAAAAATAAAAAAGTAAAAATAGACAAGGCATTTTTACAACTGTAAAACAATTGTTTGTAAATATTAATACATTTAGAAAAAGTTGTTAAATTTAAAAAAATAAAGGAATATAGAATATGAATTTAAATGAACCTCTTTTCCAAGAATTTAAAGCTGTTGACACTTCGACACGTTCGCTAATGACTTTTTGATATCCAGAATTCATCAATAAAAATCTGACGACAACCGCCAAAATAAAATTGGGTAACCATTTTGTCAACATTTTTTATAATTTATAGTTAATCATATCAGGGTTTTATACATCCTAACCTTCTTTGATTCTTAGACGCAATAGTTTAAATGGTCAAGTAAACAGTTCTCTATGTGTGAAAAGACATTCACGTTTAACTTGACTACAATTGTTAGATTGTGCGCATGCGTACAAAATAGTGCGCTAAATTTAAAAATGTATAGACTAATTTCCAAAATTCAAATTTTCATAATTGAATAATATTATTGTCGATAAATTTATACTTACTTTTTTATATTTTAATTATGCATATTTGAAATGCATTTAAATGTTACGAAAATAATTTAAGGTTAGTTTATACATACATGTATAAAAATATTTAAGTTAAATACATTCTTAGAATAAAGAATTTATTATTAACATAACTGTCACTTAAGAAATGTACACGTTGCTGATAAATGATTATTCATGTAATTGTCGTAGTCCTTAAATTTGAATTGTATAATGTAATAATAGGTAGGAGCTATTTATCTTTGGTATTAAATGTACATATACAAGCAAGACAATTCTGCTAAACGCTTGTTACAATGACAACAATCATTATAATATTGTACAAATACAATGACGTGCTAAAAAGAAAATGATGAAATTTTTGTTTATAATGAAATGTATAATATAATAATTAGTTTTGACGATCATAAATCATCGATATTTGAAGATTTAGAGCTAAATTTAAATTATTTGAATTTTGTAAGAATTCAATAATTTTATCTTTTATTCTCTCTCTTTCTTTCTTTTTTTAATAAATTCCAATTAAGATATATGGTCTTCCGACATACATACAATCAGTTATACTAAATACACGTGACGTAAATAATTAATTGTTAATTTGGAATTAAAAATACTATTCATTTTTTTACACGCGCTTTGGCGTGGGACATCGATAATTAACTTAATTTAATATAAAGTTAAGTTTAAACATTAAATTAATCCTCTTACACGGTTGCATTATGTATATTATAATTATTTACATTATTCAAATTTTCGCATTTAACAACTTAATAAATATAACGCATGTTAAAAGATTGTATTTAAATATATATATTTCAAAACCTGCTTTTCATCATTAAATCAAATAAATTCGAGCAAGTGTGATTGTCTTTCGTAAACATAGCTGCATACAAAATGAATTTGTTTTAATAAAACCAAGCGTAAGCGATGATTGTTATTATATATATTTATAATTATAATGGAAAATTTATATATACGTATTTATATATTTATATCAAAATTAAGCTGCTTCTGCTGCAAGGATGCGTGAAAATTGTGATTTCGTAGGAACAGTATCTTGTTCGCGTTAACTAATAAATTAAGTAATATGGCGATTATAATATTTATAATAATAATAGCCGAAATTTTTTTATTAGAACAAAAAAGAAAAGAAAAAGAAATATTCTATACAAAAGATCAGACTTAAATTGTTTCTTGTTTAAAGTTAAAAATGCATAAATAAATATATTTATAATAATGTCGATTTAATAAAAATCTTAGCTAGCATGATGGATATTGCAATTAATCGCATATATGAAATGATAATAAACACGTTGCCCGATGTAATGTAATAATTATGGTTAAATTGCAGGTATACGGATGTGACTGTAACTTAAAAGTTACAACACGCATCAAGCACAAAGGTACATTGTACAAAATGTCGCTTATGTTTATGTTCATCTTATCAACATATGTACATGAATCAGTCGAATAAATATATCTTTCGTCGATACAATTATAAATCACGTTATACGTAATATTATTATTATTATTAAACCGAAAATATGATATTGATATTTTCGCTTTGACCCCTTTTTTTGTATTTTATTTTTTTTTTCTCTTTTGGCGACAAGGACAACGATACAGGCATGAGAATATGAATAAACGAGCTACCTAATCGTAAAATATAATTTAAATCCTAGGCATGACCAATCGATTAATAAAAAAGCGACAACAACGTTTCGTAATCAGTCCTAAAATTATTTTTTTTTTAAATGATCAAAAAGATCATGTATGCACAAATTCGTATTATAAATAAAATATATTCCTAAATATAAGCTTAAATATTATTCAGTTGAATTCTCTCGATTCATTTTGTTTTTACAATTCATTCATATCTTTATCAAGACTTCGGTTTTTTTCTCTTTGGAAAAAGTGAATAAAAAAAAAACTGGAAGAAACATAAACGTTGTTTTGTTCAAATAGATCTGTCAAACATATACGTTTATTTATAATATTAGTTCTAAAAATATTACCGATTCTAGTATATGTATTGTACAAGTTCATTCGACACACATTTAATACATTATTACCATAGAAAATGATAGAATTTTGTCAGTTGTTTCTATTTAACTGTTGCATAATGATCTAGGACACACAGAGTAGTGTTTTTCTTTTAATCATAGTCCCTAGTGTTTTATCGACACCGAAAAGAAAAACCTAATCAATTAAGCAGTTGTATGGTAATACACAACATCGATTTGTCGAATGTGTTTTACACTTACTACTTTCCAAACCGTTGTAATCTGCAGTAAAATTTATGTTTAATTAATTATCTCAAATTGATTATCGTTGAATCTCATTTGTTTTTTTTTTTAAATAATATTCTTTGTTATACATTGTTTTTACATTTATTTAATTTACAATCAAATTAACGTCCTCCTGTTTTCATGAATTATTTCAAATTGATTTTTATATTTTGTTTAGGGACTAACATTTTTCTTAATACACATATATCACAGAATTGAATAATTTCACATTTTGTAATAATTCGAATCATTTCGAATATATTTTATCGTTATATTGTTGTTGTGTTTTGTTTAAATGCAGGAATTTTTGTAGAAGCGTCATCAACGCATCCCAGGAACGCAGAAAATATAGCTTACGTTATATCAACTTCCAAGAAGCCGATTGTTTCCGTATTTTCCTTTTATTTTTAATAATCAATTAATTAATTATCGATTTAATGAATCGTCTGCATTCATACGAAAGAGTCATTGATATTGTTACTGCCTTAGAATAATTACTGACAATTATATATACACTCGAACTTTATGGCATAATAACTTCTACAAAAAATATTAGAATTTTTACGTAATCCTATTATTTACAACTTTAATATATATTTATATTTATATTT